GCCGTCGCGGAGCTCGTCGGCGCCGAGCTTCCGGACGACGTCGAGCTGGCGCTTCACGTAGGTCGCGACGTCGACGCAGTGCTCGACGGAGAGGTCGTCGGACGCGAGGTAGACGTGGCGCCAGACGGCGGCCGCGAGCGCGTCCGAGGACTCCGCCTCGTCCTCGATGGCGACGGCGTTGTCGTACTCGAGCGCCGCGGCGAAGGAGTACTTCTGCACGTCGCCCAGGTGCTTGTTGACGCTGATCTCGTTCACGCCCGTGACGCGAATCCGCGCCGTCGTGTCCTCCCAGAGCTCGTCGAAGACGGCCTCCTGAAGGAGACGCGCCTCCTTGCGGCCGAGCGACTCCGTCTCCTCGAGGGCGCGGTGGAGCATCCAGACGTGCGCGAAGAGCACGGCGTGCTGCGGCCGGAACTGCTTCGTTTTGACAGCGCCGCGCTTCGCCCAAATCGGGTGCGTCGCCTGCACGGCGCAGGCGCGGAAGAGCTTTTCGGCCTGGCGCGCGCGCGTGCTGTCCTTGCCGTAGTAGCCCAGCACGCGGAGGAGGGGTGCAAATTTCTCTTCTATGGAGGAGGCCGGCGATGGCTGAGGCTGGATGGCGCTGCTGAGGCCGCGGAGCGGTGTAGCGGCGGCGCGCGCGGCTCCGACGAGTTTTGTCGTCGCGAGCGCGGGCCGGGGCGCGGCGCCGAGGCGGCGGAGAGCACCGGTCGCGAGTCGAGCCATGCCTTGGAACGAGGGGCTTGGCGGGATTTGCTTCACGCGAGCTCGGCGGCGCCGGCAGGCCGAAGGGGTCGATGAGCTGGACTCGTGCGCCGACGCCGGCCTTGCCCGGCAAGGTGGGCTTGCGTGCATCACGGTAGGCCTCACGGTCGATTCACGATCGCGACGCATGCACCACGATTTGCCGCACGCGCCTCCGCGCCGTCTAAAGAAACGAACAAATGGCCACGTCAGACATTACCGTATGTTGAGGCTCCCGAGGATGCTCGCGCCCTCGGAGCCGCGGCCCGCGCCCGGCTCGTTCTCGTCGTCGCCGTCGTTGTCGCTGTCCATCATCTCGTCGACGTCCGAGTCGGCCTCCTTCTTCTTCTCCTCGACCGTGGGCTCCGGCGACGCGGCGTCGAGCGTCGCGATGTGCGCGATGCGCTGCTCCGCGCGCGCGTAGCCGAGCGCCTCCGCGCGCTCGTACCACTGCTTCGCGAGCGCGTAGCGGACGACGTCGTTCTCCGTGATCACGAGGCCCTTCTCGAAGAGGTGCCCTAAATTGAACGCGGACCGCTCGCAGCCCTGGTTCGCGGCCATGCCGTAGTAGCGCTTCGCGTGGTTATAGTCCGTCTTCAGGTCGCCCTCGCCGGGCGGAAACGAAAA